GGTCAACAACTGTGCCAAGTTTGGAAGAAATTGGTGCAGCGGTTACCACATGTATACACATGTAACTACACACATGTATACACATGTAACTATAAGTGGGCGTGGCTACGCCCATTTTCCATAAATTTTTAATATTCTTATTTTTCGTCTAAAAGTTATTCTAAATGTCAATTTTGAGTGAATTATCTTCAGTAGTTACTAAACTATCGCAGTTTTCGTATTTCTGAAAATTACCGTTATATGGGAGGTAGGCGTGGTTATTGTCCGATTTCGCCCATTTTCAATACGATCCGTCCTACGAGCGAAAGAAGTGCATGTACCAAGTTTCGTTAAGTTATCTAAATTTTTACTCGAGTTATCGTGTGCACAGACGGACGGACGGACGGACAGACAGTCACCGCTTAATCGATTTCTCTTTTCATTCTGATTATTTATATATACGTTTATCTATATCTATCTCGATTCGTTTTGCCTGTTACAAACAACCGTTATGTGAACAAAGTTATAATACCCTTGTGCACAAGTGCGCTCGGGTATAAAAATAATAATTTTGAAATATATTTTTAACAGGGTTGCCACTTGTCAAAGTTAATAAAAATATAAATAGATTACTATAAAAAAATCTGTCAAATTAAAGCATGTTAGAATATGAAAAAATTATGTTCGCAAGCAAAAACAGGAAGCACAGAACAGTTTCTATTGTTTTATAAAAGTAAAGGGAGGCCCTCACTGCGATGGAAAGACGAAGTGGAGAAGCACTTGGCTTCATTTGGCATTTCCAATTGGCGTCAGTTGCAACAGCAGAGAAAAGACTGGCGTGCTTTGTTGAACTCGGCCAAATCGCTTAGGCGGTTACAACGCCAAATACGAAGTAGAAGAATCAGATATTTTGTATGGCTGTAAAGTATTTGAAACTACTACCAAAGGTTAGCTAATACGTCATTCTAAGTAGCAACTAAGAACAGTCAAATAATGAAGGATCTGAACGTTTTTGGCTTACGTCTACGTTTTACTAAAAATATTCCTATATAAGTAACACGGTCATTTAAAAGTCTATTTACTTATATTTGTATGTATATTACATTTTACGCTTAGAAGAGCTTATACGCCATACATATTTACATTTCCCGCATAACCACTAATTATCCTCTACTTATGCAGCTACACATATTCATAGCTTATTGTTTATAAGCTTTCCCTGCTTTCTATGTATTCTACAGAAATTGCGCCACCACTCCAGCGCTTATACGCCACCACAACATCCTACGCCACTATCAATCATTGGCCAACTTCAGTCGCACCGCAATTCGTTTGCACTTCCACATCAGCTGTGTCTCCAGTATGCTAAAAGACATGGCGACCAACACCAAGCCGAGCAGCAAATAAGCGCAACAAGCAAAGAGCTGCACATGCGGCCCATGAAAAGTACGCTCGGGTATAAAGTCACCATAGCCAATGGTGGCCAAGGTGACAAAGCAAAAGTAGGCGCCATCCACAATGGACCAATTCTCCCAGAAAGCAAAAATCACAGTACCCAAACAAATATAGCAGATGAGTATGAGTAGCACAATGCTGATGGGCACCTGTGGGCCAGCGTCGTCGGGGTCTGTCATTGAGGCGGCATCTTCATCGCCATCTGCATCGTCAGTGGACGCACCGCTGGCATCGCAGTAATCATGTTCGTCCGCCGTGTGCGCGCAGCTGCTGTGATGCTTCCTCTTATGTTTGCAGTTGCTGTTGAGTTTTGTGAGGCGGAATTGTTCGGATGGCGTCGCATCGCGTTGCATGTAAGCTGCGTCCTCCCCATCGTCGGAGGTTTCATCGGTTACCGTGTCGCCATAGCAGCTGCTCACTTTCCCACTTCTATGATGGCTTGTCGTATGGACGTTGCAGCCAGCGCGGCGTATGGCGGTGAAATTGGCGGATTTGCGTAACGCGGCGTTACGTTGGAATGTATTGAGGGTGTGACGATGAAAGGATGCAGCGGTAGCGTTTAGGAGGCTGCGCGCACCTCTCTGATCATCTGTATGCGTGGTGCTGTTGCTGTTGTTTTGGCCCATGCCGCTGCTGCTGGTGCTGTTGCCACCGCCGGCGATGAGCGGTACGCGTGATGGCGTACCATGTGGGCAATTGCTAGAAGGGAGAAGGAGAAAATTTAAAAGTTTTGTTAGTCAGAAATGAACTCGGCTCTTTTGTTTAATTATTGTATGCTTCCACAAAATAATTAGAAAAATGCTCACTGTCTCTTTCATATACTTATAGACTTATTTATTAATGTACTTTAGAATTATTTGAAAATGAAAATAAAGAACTGCGTTACCTTAATTGGCATTCATACTCTTTCAACGAGAATTTTTTTTTTATCCAATTTCCTATCTAACAAAAACTTGTTTTAGTTATCAAAATGATGCAACCTCCGAATCATTAAACAAATGGGGGTAACTTCTACTTTTTTATGTGGCGATCGATTCATGAACGTACATACTCTGCAGGCCATTACTTAAGCTGATTTTTTCTATAGCACCAGTAACATTTTCCAGCCTAACGGTGGATCATTTTTGCTGCAGATAAATCAGCACACAGCTTTTTTCGAGATGCAATACTTTTGTCTGCAGTTGTTTGTTGTACAAGCGTATGAAAAAATGTGTTAAACGTTTTTGCTTTGTTAGCGATTACCATCTTGCATTACCAGTGGGTTTTGTAACAAATTTGAAGTTTCAAGTCAATAGCTCATCGGGACGTTAGTTAAAAATTGACTAAAATATTCGAATGCATACAGGTGAAACTTAGAAAAAGTTTTTAATAAATAAATAAACATAAGTGGTGGACAATCTAATTCGGTAACTCACTTTAACCTATTTCAGATTATGGAACACTATATCCTTAGAAAACAAGTGTTTATAGATAAAACTTGCCTTAATTAATTTTCTCTTTTCTAAGCACCAATAACTGCAGCATTATTGACTCTCATTTCAACATCGTACTTTATTGGAAATTTAGCGTCTCCGTCAGTCAATCAATTCTTTTTTTATATTTGTTTTGGAAATATTTCTCTCCATTCACACCATATTTTAGCATATCATACTCGCGGTCAAAACTTTTCAGAGCTTTCAACAAAACCCTTTTTTTGTCCCTTTTACTTCCTAGCTTCGAGCCTAATTCTCTGTTGTATTACACACTTGTTTTTTTTTTGTCGATTCATTTGCTTAACCTAGCAATCAATTTATCTCGTTTACCCCTCTCCTTAACCTTTAAAAGTAATCCAATCGTTGCGCTCAATTTAATATCTAAACAAACGAAAGACCAAAATACGTACATACATGCATAGCCATTCACAAGCATGCCCCTCGTAGGCTTCCTTTCACACACTTCGAGTGCACATGGCGTATACGTGACATTTTACTTAATCGCACAGAAGTTCTTACGTCACACAAACACTCAGGCATTCATAATATTTTGCCGGGTCGCAGATTTCGCTGAGCAATGCAATTTGCATAGTTTTGTGCTTTTAAACGGTATACAGTTTTCTACGTACTTACGTAAACGCTTGTTAAGTCGCATACATATGCACATACATATTTGTCTATTTTTATCCTTAGTACTGTATTGACTTTAGAAATTACTGCCTGTCATCGGCGAAATTTGCAGGTTATTTTTAGGTTTGATTTATGATGTGAAAAAGCACAGAATAGTTTTTAGCAAGTGCCGTACTATGTAGTTAATTAAAAGAAAGTACAAACTCATACATTTGTAGTTGGATAAATTAATTTTTCTTCAAGCTAGAAAGTGAAGATTAGTCTCAACAAAGGTGTCATTCTGTGTGGACGCAATATTTTCGGTGAGTGTCATTTTCTAGTTTTTCTGTTTTTAAGAATTTATGTAGACACTGAAATTAGTTGACTTATCGAAATTGACAACGAAATGTCACAAAAAAAATATAAGAAAATTATTTGAATACAATTTTATTCAAATCGTAAAATGAAATGTGTGTACTATCAAACTAAATACTTTTGCATACTTATTTTTGTTATTTCAATCTATATACTATAAAAGTCTTTTAAAAAAGCCTAAAGTACAGTATCCAGTCAATCCAGCTCCACATCTTCCAAAATAATCCATCAAATTTTGTGAGCTGAACACCTTTTATCCGCTCTGGGTGAAACTACAAAATTTTTAATAGGGTTACCACATGCTTAAAATTTTAATGTATCAAATTTTAAATAAAATATTGCAACGCGTTTTTATTGAATGAATGTTAATAAATGCTATTATATCCAGAAGTAATAATTTTGAAGAGAGTTGCCAACTATCTAAAAATATAAATCTCTATATATACGAATGTATGTATGTATATGTAGAACACAGTTGCTTACTCAAGACCGAGCGAGAGATGTCTTTTTAAAGAATTTTTTAAATTGGAAAAAATTTTCGGAAAAATATAAATTTTCGGAAAAATGGATTTTCCGTTGGTTTCGTATAGAAAATTTTTCATTTTCCTACTTGTACTTTCAGTCATGCACGTGAATTGTTGGTGAAAATGTTGGTTCAAAGGTTTAAATAAAAAACAATTATTTATTTATTTGATAAAAAAGGTTTTTATTTCTGCAGTATGTCTTTCATGAGAAGGAGCATATCGTCCTTAATTCACAAAGGCCCTAAGCAAAAAATGGTATAAAAGAGTATCGAAAATAGGTAGGAATTTAAAAAAAAATAGCACATAACGCCATGGTTTTTTATACTAAGAACTTAAAATATTTGTTGAAAGTGTGTTTTAAAACATCCTACCAAAACCTGTGAAAAACGCAATTTTGAAAAAATTGTTTGTGAATGTATGTCGGATATATTCGACCCCAAACTTAATTGAATAGAGTAGATATATATACGCCCACAAAGTAATGTTGCTTTTTCAATTTTTCCTAATAAACAATCGTGGTACAATGCTTTAAAAAAATATTTAAAGTAATGAATTTCCGTTTTCAGTAAAATTTTAATATTCATTAACGGAAAAACCTACTATCCCTAGGTTCGGCCAAAAAGAAACTATTTTTTTTCGAAATTTGCTGTGCAAATATTTTTAACCCTCAGGTGTGTACTGCGAAAAATTTTTGTTTACCTTTAAAATGGTAAGGTTTAATGTAAATAAATAAGTAAGTATATTTTTTCTTTATGTTTAGTTCTGAAAAGCAACTTTAACATGTCTAGCGACCAGTCGCAAAGTGAATCGCATTGAGAAGGTTTCCAAAACAAATTAAAATTCTTCCCACAAGTTCCTTAAAGTTTACTTAGTAATTTTTTTGGAAAAAATAATGTTTCCATTGGTCTAAAGAGAGTTTCAGGTGCTTCTCGTTATGAATGCCAGAGGAAAAGTTAAAGGCAAAAATATTTAAAATATTTAAAAATAAAATATATTTTATTGGAAACTTCATAGCATTTCTATTAAAACTAATTTTTTAATATAACTTAAAACAATCCACATCTACGTGCTTACTATCCGAAATCGACCATACAAGCTGTTAACTCAACTACCAGAAAATCTGGTTTTTGATTGCATTACAAAATAAGTTCATGAATAAAACCAATTTCCAAAGGGCAAACGATGAGTCAAGCAGCTGCTAAGAAAATGTGTGCCTTTCAAAAGGCTAGCTGGGCAGCTAGAAATGAGCAGTGAAATAAATGTAGCAACAAATGCACACACATAATAACATATATGCTAGAGTACTGGCTACAAACCCGCAAAGTATTGCAAGCTTGTGAAATGCTATTGAACATCCATAAATAAATTTTATAAATTCTTACATTTATGAAATTGGAAACAAACACAAATATACTTATGTATGTATGTACATACATATGTATGTACAAGGTATTTATACAGTACCACGAGACAAGTGAGCTGAAATGTTATCAAGCTTCTCGCTACATAACGTATACGCCATGTATACTATTTCATTTTTTGTGAGGTTTGTTTTGTGAGGAGATGTAGTAGCAGTGGTAAATGTATCTATAACATTGAACAGTAAAATCAAATATGTATAACAATGGAAAGCATATATCTTGAACTCTAAGCCCGCTGGCCTACAAGTGTAGAGGCAGCTGTGTTGCAAAGCCAATGCAATAGATCAGAGTTAAAAACATATGTAAGCATGTATGTACCAAAATATGAAGGGCTGCTGTAAATTTTATGATAAGTATAAAACATTTGTACATTTACAAATACATATATATGCGCATATCGTAGTTGTTGCATTTGACCACATGCATAAAATTATATAGATCGAAGCATTTACGTCTATGGAACTGCTTTAATAATTCCTAATAATAAAGTCTTTGACAGCATATTTATATATTTGAAACATTTTGATATAATCAGCCAGGTTTTGTAATTCACTTTCGAGTGAATCTCGTCCCCATTCAATTGGAATTTAAAGTGAGTTTGATTCAATTTCACTCTGAAGTAAATTGCAGAACTTGCCCGAATGATTACTAAAATGATTGAAATGCAATCGCAAGAAGAGTCAAAACTGAAGCTGTAAGCGGAACTATTTATGAGAAATGTCTAAAATAGTGTATGCACATAAGTCCGAGAGCAATTTGAAAAGTCAGTAGTTCGTGAAATTTTTCGCGCAGTAATATTAAATGCAAATGTCAAATAGGATCCCTTTTACAGACTACTGTGAAATTACGTGCAATCTGCTTCTTTAAATTTGTGTTTGACAGCCATTTAAAGCAGGCAACCTCGGGAAGTTTTCGTGAAAATGGATAGAGTGAATTTCTTATGCTGATTTTGTGCTTTAAAAATCTACTACCGAAACCAAGGAAATGCCTGGCAAATAGTATGGAGATTCTTCGCGATTAATTTCAATGGTTAAAAAATGGTTTACTAAGTTTCGATGCGGTCGTATCAGCACAAGGCTCTGCGAACGTCTAGGTTGTCCGTGAAAGTTGCGAGAGTTGGTTGAGCCTATAGACCTCTTATCTGGGAAGATGTTAAGCGGCAGCCGAGACAATGAATATCCAGTGAATATTTTCTGTTTTCAAACCCAAAGAAATGGCTGGATGGTGAGAGATTTGGGTTAAATGAAGAGATCGTTACTGAAACAAAAGCTTATTTTGAGGACTTTTTAAGGAAGTAA